TTACTCGAAATCGGTTGCATGCCTTGGGTCAGTTCGTGGAGTGGACTGAATGCAGTCATTAAGCAAAACATGTTTGGAGAACTCCACTACCTCCTCAACAATAGGCCTCAATTGCAAATCATTTCGGGGAGACAAAACTCTGTTATCTCTCTTAATTATCCCCTCATATAATGCGGCTGGTCACCTGAAGAGGAGAGAGTTGTTTCCCCCACTCTCAACTTAACAATCAAATCTGTAGGGTCATGTCAAAATTTGACTTTTATTTTGCGGAGGAAAAGCACTTCGATAAAGTACAAAGTTAAACCGCTTTTTTTCCACTCACAGGCATATTTTAGCGTCTACATTTTTCACATCTTGGAATATAATCGTCAAATGTTTTAATGACGTGGCAGCCATAAAATCCGGAATTAAAATGCAGAAATGGGAACACTCCTAAATTGCCTGTCGTATTTCCACAAAGACAAGGAAGCACTCTTTTCTACAGTTCATCAAATCTTTACGGTCCACTATTCAAAATAGAAGGAGCTTCAGAGACCGCCCAATCTGCTACTGTTGTTGTCGTAATTAATGAGGTTGGGCTGAAAGCTGGCAAGGAGTCAAGCACTGCGAGGAATTATCTTTTCAAGTGACTTTGACGTGTTTCTGTATGGATAGGTGGTTGTCTCTCTCCTGCGCTCTCTCCCCTCCGAGCTACTGCCAAGTTGCCCACGGGGGCATGGGCAGGTTTCTTCTGTGGTCACTCCTTATCGTCGGTCATGTCCGCAGTTTTTTGGCTGATTAAATTTAACCACAAAGTACGTGGTATGTGGAGGGTCAGGGCTAAGAATATGATGACCGATGATGATGAGCCTACTACCAACTGTAGTGACGATAGTGAACCGATGCTTCTAACAGTGTGGCCAGACCATTTAAAATAAAAGAGGGTTACAAAGGAACCATAGCTCCCAAGACTTTTTTCACTCCTCTGCTGTCACAAAATGAAAAGCAATCTTTTTGAGTTCTTCTACTTCAAAGAAAATTGACAGTCAAATGCAAATAGGGTATAGCAGTGTATAAAATAGTTGAGAGGACCAGAACGGCTAAAGGACGGATTGGAAGCTATGGTACAAAAGTGGTAATCAAACGGTGAAGCCAAAGAACCCGTGTAGTGAAATGTGCCATCAAGAAGATCGTTTAACCAAAATGCAACTTCATTTGTATGGTTGACACGCCATTGGGCGCATTCGATAAACGTTTGTCGGCCTCCCTTTGTTTAATCCACTATGAGGGCTGTGGGAGCTCAACTTTACTAGACGAAGGTGAAAAAAAAACCACTCGTGTCAGGCATACGCACTCACCCACTTCCACACAAGATGAGCGGGATGGGGAGAGAAGGCGAACTGGAGCTACTTTTTGCGCGTGCACTTACCTCCATTCTACCTCACATCCCCCGGGTATGTGGAGCAGAGATTAAAAGTGGTGGCTAGGTTGGCGGAAGGGGAAAAAGGGAACGTCGCCTCCGTAAACCCCCACACAGACAGCCATTCAGACAGACCGACGGAGGGGCGGCTTATTCAACTGATTGGAGCGGTATCCACCTCAAAGGGAGCGCGCGCTTCAGGTAGTGGCGGTAGTGGTGTTCTATCTTCTTTTAGTTCTTGTATTGCGATATTTCCGCTCCATTTTGGGGATGAAGCGTTGCAAAAGAAACTCCCTCCGATTTTTGGAAGGCCTAGGCATCTTATCCTAAGGTCCTGGGTGACCTTGTTTACAACGTGTTCTATTTGACCGCCTTTCCTTTGACCGGTAAATTGTCGCTCTACAAGTAAAACTATGTAAGAAGCACTTTTTTGTGATAGCGCACTAAAAGCCTGAAAATTCGGTCGAATATACTACTCAAGCACTACTTCGTAAGTAGTATACTTAAGTGTTAAGTAATAATCAAATTGCTTATTTTGGGTAAAGAAGAAGATAAAAATGAACTCCGTTCTCAACAGAGCAAGCTAAAAAGACCACAAGCCTAGTAAAATTCGTATAGAAGTGCTGGCGACCCCGGGCTACTCGGGTCAGCGTCATTTGACATGCCTCATGAAGCAGAGAGACCAGGAGCGCGGAAGTGGGATGGGCAGAGCCAAATACAACTGTTGCGGTGACTCGTGGGCTACCGAAAGTTCATTTGGCTATGAAGCATGCCATTCTCCTCGTCGTAGTTTACAACCACAGTGATTCTTATGTCGTTTCCTTTCCGGGTGCTATTAGATCCGTCCAGTTGTCGATCATGCTGAAGCGAAACAAGTGGAATTTTTTTCCACAAGGTAGTATAATCCATGCAACGAACTGAATTAGGTGACGATTGAAGGTGGTAGTTAAGTTATGGATGGAGAAATCTGCTTATTTGCATCTCATTCAACCTGTGGGATAAAAGAATTGATGATCGAGAGCTTCTATGATTATTCAACGACCTTGTGCTTACCGTGTTTTCGTCTTCAGGATTAAGACGTACGAAAGACTATTTCTTCGGTTAACTCCTTGGATAATACGATTGAATAGGAATGTCGCATTAAAATTTTGGTATCAAGTTCGTTCACAGAATGAGAGAACAATTCCGTGACTTCAGGAGCCACCTCACCTAAGCACCGCCATGGGAAGGGAAGGCGGAGGGAAAGGAGGGAGTGATTTTTATCCTAAATGAAGGCAGAAATTAATGTGTTTTCTTGGCACTCACAAAAGTTTAATATATCACTGACTATGCAGGCAGTCAAAAAAAGGGAGGGAGAATTAACGAGTAGATTGGCCAGTCTTATCATTTAGTCATCATTAGCACAGCGCTTATTCACGTCTGACCTTTGGGTGTAGCTCTGGCGTCTTGGACAAAGGCCAAACCCCAGACTGGAAATTGAACTTGGCACACTCTTGCAGGGAAATGACATGCGGCTTAATTAGCTGTTCAACTAGGCGGACCTTTTAGGATCCACGGTTTTGGTAACATGAAGTTTCATTCTTGCCATTCATGTTGACTGCTGTCAAACAGAGGTGCGTGGAGACTCGCACAACTAACAAGATCTGAGGAAAAAAAAAGCGCAGGCTAACATCCTTTACAATTGAAATGATTCTTCCCTACAAAATGAAAATCAAATTTTGATAAGAGGCATGACACGACCCTACAAATTCAAAGGCCCAATAGGGCAAGGAAACTCTCTCTTACTTCAGATGACCAGCCATTATATTTGAGGGGATAATTATGAGAGATAATAGAGGTTTCTCTCCCTTAATTGATTTGCAATTGAGGCCTATTGTTGAAAAGGTTTTGCTTGATGGAATGGAGGAGAGGAGAGGAGAATTGGTATCTGGTTGATTGGCTACATTCAGTCCACTCCACGAACTGACCCAAGGCATGCAAATGATTTCGAGTAT